AATCGATGTAGTATATATATCATACCAAGACAATTAACAACCAAAAACCCCACATGAACAAAAGGCACTTGACAAAATTCAACATCTTTTCATGATAAAAACACTCAAACTAAGAGTAGAAGGAAAGTACCTCAACATGATAAAAGGCATTTATGAAAAATTCACAGCTAACACCATATTCAGTGGTGAATACTGAAAGCCTTTCCCCTGACCGGGACCTGGAACAAGACAAGGATCCTGCTCTAACCACTTCCATTCAATATAGTACAAAAAGTCCTCGCCAGAGCAGTTAGGCAAGAAAAAGAAAAGGCATCTAAATTGGAAAGGAAGAAGTAAAGCTGTCTCTGTTACAAATGATAACGATCTTTACCAAGGAAACCTTAAAGATTCCACCCCCCCCAAACCTGTTAGAGCTTATGAATTCAGCAAAGTTACAGGATACAAAATCAACACACAAAAGTAAGTTGTGTTTTTATACAATGCAATGTACAATCTGAAAAGGAAATTAAGAGAACAATTCCATCATAGCAATAAAAAGAATAAAATATGCAGGAATAAATTTAACCAGAGGCAAAAGACTTGTGTATTGAAAATGAGAAACTATAGGTGAAAGAAATTAAAGACATAAATAAATGTTTAAACACATCCCACGTATATGGATTGGAAGACTTAATATTGTTAAAATGACAATACTAGCCAAAGAAATCTACAGAGTCAAACTAACTCCTATCAAAATCCCAGTGTTTTTTTGCAAAAACAGAAAAACCCATCTTAAAATTCACTTGGAATCTCTAAGGACCCCAAAAAGCCAAAACAATCTCAGAAAAGAACAACAAAATTGGATATCCCATACTTCCTGATTTCAAAACTTACTAGAAAGCTACAATAATCGAAACAATGTGGCGCTAGCCTCACGTCAGACATATGGACCAACGGAAGAACAGAGCCCAGAAACAAGCTCCCACGTACAGGGACAGTCTTTCCAACAAGTAGTGCCGGGAACACTGACACCCACATGCAAAAGCATGAGGTTAGGGACTTACCTACCATCATATACAAACATTAATTCAAAAAGGATCAAAGCTAAATATGAGTTATTTGACTCTCAGGAGAAAACAGAGGAAAAGCTTCATGACACTGGATTTTGCAGTGATTTCTTGGATAAGACACTGAAAGCACAGGCAACAGCAGAAAAAATTAGATAAGCCAGACTTGGTCAAAATCAAAGGCTTTGCACGTCGAAGGGTACTATGAGATGGAATGATGAAAAAGTTCTGGAAATGCCAGATAGAGATACCAGATAAAGGTTATCTCCCCAAATGTAGGTTTTCAGATATAAGCCAGATTTCTCAATGGCGTCATCACAGACATACAAACATTTCACATTAAATTTTATACCAGAAAGTAAAGGCAATATAATTGGAGCCTTCGTTACTTAAATCCTGTCTATTCCTAGAGAACTCAGCCTTTGTCCAAGATTGGCAATGCCATCAGAAAGAAAATCACGCTTTAAAAAAAATCTCTTGGAAAACCCCAATATTCAATGGCTTTTTTGATTGCACAGGTGACCCTCACAACCCAGCCCATTTAAGTAAATTCCGTCCACAGGTTTTAAAGCCACCAGTAGTAGACCCTGATTCCAGTGTTACCTCTGGTCATAGGACAGGGCCATGGCCCGGATCCCGGCGTCGCAGCCTGGATAGGCAAAGAGCTGCTTGAGGTCAGACACCTGCCAGACCACGACCACACCGTTGTCTCCTCCCGTGAGCAGGTACTGCCCGTCCCGGCTCAGCTGGATGGCCTAGGAGACAGGCAACACTTAGGAGAGACGTGGCTCGAGGAAAACCGCCCCCCCACCCCATTTCTGATGAATTCCCCACGATGCAGCTACTGCAGCGCACAGAGAAGGGAGAGAGCTTGTATTCCTGAGGCTTTAGGAAATCATGAGTCATAGAAGACTTTTGCCATTGTTCCAAAATCAAATGGGCAAAGTCAGGCAATGTTAGAGGTTTTGTTTTTTGTTTTCTTTAATTTTTGCTGACAAAATTTCTGCTTTTTAAGGATGAGGTGGCACACTCTTCCTGTTCTACAGTGTGTGCTGTGGATGGGGACCAGCTCTCTGTTGTGAGGAGCTTCCAGGCATCTCTCTGGTTGGAACGCAGACGTGCTAAGCCCATTTTGTGCCAAGGCCAAGCAGATAGTGCTAGATGACCTCATATCCCCAAGAACACCCTGCTGCCCCTGGGCTCCGGCCCCCCGGAGACCGCCTGCAGCTGGGGTGCCCTCCCTAGGCCCACGGGATTTTTACAGTGGCTGGGAAGACAGCTGGGTAGAGACCCACGACTTTCAGGTGCTGAAGCCCGGGTTAAGCATTTTCTTCTTGCCCCAGGACCGACCGCTTCTTGCTGGTCACAAAGCACAGACGTGCAATTTGCTCTTCAGCCCCAAAAGCAGGCCACCCCCTATTACATACAACGTTTAAAATTTTTTCCACGGTTGGAAAAAAAAGTCAAAAGAATAATATTTCATGACATGTGGAAATAATATGAATTCCAAATTTCAGTGTCCATAAATAAGGGTTATTGGAACATAGCCACACCCATTCATTTCTGGCTACTTTCACATGTAATTGCAACAAAATATAGAGCCTGCAAAACCGAAAATATTTACTATTTGTCCCCCTACAGAGAAAAGTGTGGCGACTCCTCTGATATAAAAGGTCCCTCCCCATTCCAAAAGCTGATTGTCTTACCCCTTCCTCTCCTCCTTTTCCCAGCTTATTGAGACACACATTTCCTTTCCTTACCTGGGTGGCATCGGGAGTTCTACAAGTCACTGCAAACACCTGTAGTCTTACGTCCACCAGGACACAGTGAACACAGGAATCCAGATTGTATGAGCGAGCCAGAAAGAAATTACCTACCTTCTGGAAAATATATTTACATTCTTCTGCACTCAGTTTCAGTATAGTTGCCTTAAGTCTTTAATCTACATTTTGCTCCCCCAATTTTTTTAAAATCATAGAAAATTAAGGACTGTTTCTTAGCCATTCAATTCACATTCATGCAAATGCCAACTTTTAGAGATCTCCTAAATATAGCTTATTCTCAAGGACACAAAAAATACATGTAACAGATAAAATCCCATGGGTGGAAGATAGTTACATGTAAGAAGTATTCTCTAAATTTTAACCAAATACAAATAGGAAGATTTTTCAATATGACTAAAAACCAATATCCTTTCCTCCCATTCATTTCACAAATGGCCATCTCTAGGGGGTATCTGGGAAAGGCAATGAAGACTACAACAAATAATTATTTGCTACACTTATGAAATTCAGCTGATGAAAATCCATTAACCTCATGGTTGTGGTTCACTTGAGTTTTATAACTTGAGGCTTTTTACTGGATAAGTGCTATATTAAAACATAAATTAAAACCATTAATCTTTAATTCTTTGTTCCAGAGTAAAGAATCTCTAATCCTAGTTCTGTGTTGAAATAAATAAGACCTCGACTTTCAGGACTACACATTTATCAGCATCTAAAACATTTTAATAAACCAGGTGCCTGCTGAGGCTAAAAAATATTTTGTTGGCCTTTCTCATGAGGGACTTGTCAAATTTCCCTGGACGTAAGAGCCAGGGTAGCATTTCCTGAACAGCACCCTATCACCCAGACCAGCATTCACATAGTTCTTAATTCTAGTTATCAGGCAGGGTTGAGACTAGAGATGTAAGAGGGCCCTAAGGACATGTTACTTCATCCTCAGAAATCCTGATGCCAGGACAACACTGAGGTTGCACTGGTTCTCAGGAGGCACCCACAGGCCACAGCTGTCTGCTGGGGACGATCACATCCTCAAACACAGCTTCCTCAGGAAGAGAAAATAAATGAGCTCCTCCGAGCGAAACGGTGGTTATCCCTTGTTTGGGATAACAGACCTTTCCTGCTCTAAACAGGCTGCCCACTTAAATTTAAGCTACTCATTAAGACATCTAAACATGCCTAGTTGATGTGCTATGATATGTTAACCAAATGCCACCGAACAATCTGGCATCTAAATAAAAACAGGTGGGAAGCCTTGATTAGCACAGAGGTTCCCCAGGCCGCCTGCCTGCAGGGTTCTCGGTATTTCAAAGAAACTTAATTTCTGATCTGAGCTAGTGACTAATTTGTTTCCACAGTCTCCCGTCCTTACAGAGGCTCCGACTGCAGGCCGGAGGTGGGACTGCTGATCCAGGATGTCCCCACTTCGCAGCCTGCGGTTTCCTCCCCTCTGTCCCCAGGCAGTGAGCTGTGACAGGGCGTCTCTGGGGCCGTGGGCAGGCAGGGCTCGTTTTAGGCCAGCTCGCTTTCATCACACAGTTGCCACTTGCAAGTTAGTATGATAAAGTGCAGGAGTGCTGGGGGAAAGGCGGTGGATTGTTTAAGCCTAAAATCCAGCGGGAAATCTTAGAGGGAAAAAACAATGGTCATAGGGCAGAGAGGAAAGGCCTGCGCGTGGGAACAGGCTGCAGAAGGCCTCCTGTGACCGACCGCCTCCAGGAGCTTCCCAGAGCCGTGGGTGCGAACCGAAATGCCACAGAAATGGTTTAAGCCAGCAAGGGATTTCAAATTATTTTACAGATTTATTAGTGTAGCTGACACTCTGATCGCAACTCAGAGTGACAGATGATCAGCATTATTATTGTGAAGAAAAGAAAGGAAAATCCTCTGATGTGCACTTGGTTTAAATGAAGGGAAAAGCGAAAGCTGTGTGAGTGTCCCCGCACATGGGCCTCTGCGGCGGTCAAGATGCGATGGAGAAACCCATGGAGAGAAAGGGAGGCAGAAGAAAGCCGCTTGCTGAGTGAAGGAGGCACCCAGTGGGATCGACATTCAGGGTTTCTGTTCCTCTATACCTCCTGACCCCAGGATTTACGTGAGAGAAAGGGGTGATCAGACCAGGTCTGGGAAACTAGGAGAACTTACGTCACCCTGTTAGCGCAGGCAGATAGCGAGATACGAGCAGAGAAACGGGGACACAGACCAAATGGCAGAAATTGGGCAGAAAGGAGGACCACAGGCCAAATGCTGGAAACCATATATTATGCAGGCACCAGGGGTCCTTGGGTAGAGAAAGAAAAGCAGGAACCTCTGGGCTGGTAAGTGGTCACACCTTTAGGGGTGATAAGTAGCCCAGAGGCCAACAAAGAAAGGTGGGAAAAGGCAGGAATCTCCAGTGTCCAAATGTAACCTTTTGCTTATTATGCCCTCATTTCAATAAAATTAGCCTTGCAGATTAGAAGTACCCATCATGCATTGACTCCACGACACTTCCAATCCAGACTAAATAAGGACAAAATCCCTTCCCTAGGGAAGGTGGAGGTGGTTTGGAAGTCAGGGAATACGACCCCAAACCCTTCCCTCCCCAGTGAATATTCCACCCATTCATTCTTACACTCTATGTAACCAACTTGCCAAAGAAACTTGGGGCGGCCGCTCACCTGAGCCTGCCCGCTCTCCCCTTGAGTGCACTATCCATCCTTTAATAAATTCTCACTTTACTTTTTTAACCACTACATCTTGTTTCTGAATTCTTTCTGGGATGGGACAAGAACCTGGAACACCGGCTGGATCCACCAGCCACAAGCCAAGCTGGCCCAAGTCAGGAAAAACCACGAGTGAAATGGCCAGAACCAGCTTAAAGCCACACTCCCAGGGCAGAGGCCTCTGCGACCCTCTTGCCACCCCCATGTGTCCTGGGTTCCCTCACTGTACCCGGTTCACCTGCACCTCCAACCCTGTCCCGGAAGGTGACAGAACACCGGCTTCATTTTACCTTCACCTGCATGAAGATGTTTGGAGGTGAGAAATAAAGGACCTTGAAAAGGTAGCCTCTCCTAAGAGCAGTCCCTCCTCTCTTTTCAACCTTGAACACTTACTCCCCGTCCTGAGAATGAAGCAGGACGCACAGGGCCCGCCAGCACGACGTCCTGTATGCTGAAAGCAAAAACGTGTTGCCTGATTCACGTCAAAACTTGCAGCTCAACTTCCCTAACCTAGTGAGTCTGGGTCGTGTTACCCGCCAAGAAGTCAAGTCTGAAATGGGATGCTGGTCCCACACCGTCAGAGCCCAGACCCCGACCACCGTCAGCCTGCTCAAAGGCAGACGGTCCGGTTGATGGATGCTCTATGGCACTATTTTAGCTCTGAGACTCAGAAAACAACCACCTGCGGTGAACTTTCTTAGACAGAAAACCAAAAACAACAAAGAAAAAGAGCAGTGCCACTGAAAGCCGCCCAGGATGGCCTGGGTGAAAAGCTGAAGAAAAGCTCTCGGGCTGCAGGTCCCTCCTGGGCTTCACCCAGTGGTCTCAGGCGCTGGGCACCCGGATGCACTGGGGTCTGGGAGACACCAGCCCCACCCCAGTGCCACCTCACAACTCCCTCTTGGAGTGGAAGAGAGGGCCTTGGTTACTAAAACCAGAAGTTTCTTTGGTGAACCCTCTCCCTCCTCGCTCACCACACTTTGAGGTGAAAACACAGAAGGTTGAAAATTCTACAAGGTACACTCACCTTTATGTTGTCATCAGTTTCCATGGTGGCCTGGAGTTTTCCGTTCACACTGAATGTACAGAAGAAGCCATTTTCATAGAATATGACACAGTGACCCTCTCTTGAAGCCTGAATGAGTCTTGGGTTCAGGCAGTTTTCAGGGCCCTCCAAAGTCCTCAACAAGTCTCCATTCATGGAATGTATGAGACATGGTCCTTCTGAGAAAACAGGAGAAACAAAAGGCAAAATGACGTTTTTCCATGAGGACAGACAAATGTGGTCTGAATCTTGGCTGAGCACAGGTCCAGCAGGATGACAGTGCCATATTACAGCGGTTGAAGGCCTTCAAAAATGATATATTATTTTGTAAAACCTGCACGCTGGCTGGAACTCACCTTCCACTTGGGAGAAGAGAAAGCTAGGTTGTACGTGTTCAAGTCCACTGCTCAAGAGACAGGAAGTTACTTTATGAAATTCATTATGCCAAGAGATGATAAAAAGTGGAGGAATTGAGAAAGGAACAGGACAGATTTCAAATCCTAGAAGAGTTTCCCAGACAGCTGGGCCTCTATCAAACATGGGGTGCCGCCAGGCACACTCTGATCCTCTACACCCCGCCCTCCCACCTCCCAGGCTCTCTGGTGGCAGCATCTGGCCTGTGTGGGGAGAACTCTAAGGTCCAAGCCTTCTTCCCTCCCGCTGCTCACTGCTCTGCAGTGAACGCGGCCCCGGGTAGTGCACTCCTTGCCCCCAAGTAAATCCACACAGACATCCTTCTGCCACTTCTGCTTGGTGAACAAGCCTGCTTGCCTGCTGTCCCCTGAACCAAGAAGCCGCACCCACCGCTCCCCGCTCCCCAGGCTGACCTGCAGGCCGAGCTGCCCGAGGAGGATGGAGAATCTGCCCAGTAGCCCTTCTGAGCAGTGCTCGGTCATCTTTGCTGAGTGCCTGCTACAGGTGGAGCAGGGGAGTAGGCAGCCAAAACTGCCTGTGTGATGAGTAGGTTCTAAGGAATGCCTGAGCTGGACAGAAGCAGTAACTAGACAGTGTGTCCTGCTCCTCTCCACGCTGCACTACCTGTTCCCTACGCGACTATTAAAGGTGCCTCTCGGCTTATTCTTGACCACTCAGGTTGGTAACTTTTTAGCGTTCTCGACGTAAACACGGAAGGCAGTCTTTGCTCTGCACAGTTTCAGCATGCAGGAATTTCAGTTATCGCTCTAAATAACCTAGTCCCTCAACACCCCAGTTCAGACGTCAGTTCTCACAGTAATTAAGTAAAGTGCACATTTCATGGCCAGCTCTTCAGCCCACAAATCACTACAAATAGCAGGTGTGCATCATTTCAGGTGACTGAGCCCATCACACCTTTTAGAGTCTCCAGGGAAAGGTCCCCGCATGTCTGTGACTCAGCTTGTGCACAGACAGCAAACTCTGTAGCTGTGTTGCCTCCTTGTCCACCAGTGATAAAACTATGACATTTTACACAAATGCATCATCGGAGGAGGGTGTCGGCCTACAAAGGTAAGTTAACAGTAAGGACAAGAAAGGTGATAAAGCTGAAAGTGAAATGTGAATCAAACCTAAATGGAGTTAGAGAAGAGCAAGCTGACCGAGGGAAAGCTGGGGCTGCTGAGACACCGCAGATGTGGGTCCAGGGGACCTGACTGATGGGAGCTGGGAAAGTGGCTGTAACCAATATGAGGATGTCCCCGAAGAAGCGATGACAGAAAAATCCTTCACATTAAAGAAAACCTAGGAGGTGTTATATGACACTGAAAGCACAGAAGACAAAATGTCGGAAGCTAATCCAATCTTAGGAAGGAGTCTGACAACTAGTCAAGGTGCAGAAAAGATTCTCAAGTTACTTGGGGAGAAGGGGCAGGCACTGTTTAAAGTACTCTTGCTATGTTTTTCACAAAGAAATAAAATACTTTCATTCTCAATGTGTCTAATGTTTTAAATTACAGTGTACTAAGTAAGTAAATGTTGAGTTTTACTATTTTCTTCATGTCCATATATATGTATGTGTATGTATGTACATATAACACTGAACAGGAAAATGTTTAATGTTTTGGTATAAATTTTTAAAGACCATGGAACAATCATAAAATCTCCCACTGGTTAAAATTTCCCATTGATTATTAGTAATCATAGTATTTCCCACTGAAATTATTGGTTTTCAGTCTCATTGCATGGTTCCATCTTGCACAGTCATTTTAATGGTGTCACACCACCGTGCAAAGTGAGGACAGCCTGTAATACGACAGGTTCATTTTATATGTCCAACTTGGATCACAGATAGTCTAAGAACTCATGTTAGCTCAGGATAAATGAAATCACTGGGTGTAAGAAGGAAAGAAACTCAGTAGTTACAGAATTCTTGCTATTGTTATTTCATTGTTTTGACCAACTAAATGTTTAACCACAATCCTCTTGCTAGCTTGACTTTTATAGTTCAAAAGACAGATAAGGTGACTCAAAAACTCTACACATCCCCATTAGATAAACCTAAAAGACATGGGATTACAGTAGTTTTTTTTGTGTTCAGACGTCAG